GAGGTGCCGGGAGCCCCGTCCTGGGTGGGTGGGATCCCCAGGGTGCCGGGAGCCCCGTCCTGGGTGGGTGGGATCCCTGAGGTGCCGGGAGCCCCGTCCTGGGTGGATGGGATCCCTGAGGTGCCTGTAACCCCGTCCTGGGTGGGTGGGATCCCCAGGGTGCCGGGAGCCCCGTCCTGGGTGGGTGGGATCCCCAGGGTGCCGGGAGCCCCGTCCTGGGTGGATGAGATCCCCGAGGTGCCTGTAACCCCGTCCTGGGTGGGTGGGATCCCCAGGGTGCCGGGAGCCCCGTCCTGGCATCCATGGGAGGCGCGAGGAGGCCGCGTGGCTGCCGCTGGAGGGGGTCCCTCCTCGGAGACCAGGGGAGATGGGGAGGAAAGCGGCAGTGCTCGAAACGGCCCGGGGCCACGCGGAGCCCCATGGAGCCGCCCGTCCCGCGCGGGCACGGGGAGCCAGGCGCGGGGCTGGGGCTGCCCGGGGATGCGGTTCTGCAGGGGGTGCAGGGCAGGGCGGCACGGGCGGCCCCGGGCGCAGCAGGGAGCTGCACGACAGGCATGCGGCTGCAGCAGGGAGCGCAGCGCCCAGCCCGGCCCGGCCCCGGCGCAGGCCCTTCCTTGTAAGGAGCTGCCGGCGAGCACGTCCCGCGTCCTGCCCAGCCTCTCCCCGGCCTCCACACTGCGCCTTGGCAGCCTGCGCCGCTGCAGGCTCTGCCGGGGCTCCGGGCCAGGGTGGGAGCCCTGGGGCCCTGCGCGGAGCTGCGGCCCGTCCTGCCCCGTGCATCCCGTGCATCCCATGCAGCCGCGGCTGCGGCGCGCAGCCTGGCTCCGGTGCCTGTCCCGGAGCGGGCAGCGTCGGGGCCGTCCCGCGGTGCCCAGCGCGGCGCTGGGGCAGTGCCCGGTGCCTGCGGGCGCCCCGGCACGCTCAGCCCCGCGCGCCTCTCTCCACAGGTGGGCCAGGTCTTCCTGTACTTCCAGTGGTGAGTGCGCCCGGCCGCGCCGCGGGGACCGTGTGGGGACAGCGTGGGCACTGCTCCTCGTGGGGACAGCGTGGGGACCGTGTGGGGACAGTGCGGCACTGCATGGGGACTATATGGGAACAGCACGGGCACTGCATGGGGACAGCGTGGGGACTACGTGGGGATAGTGCACGCGCTGCTCCTCGTGGGGACAGCGCGTGCGGTGCTCCACACAAGGACAGCGTGGGGACTACATGGGGATCGCATGGGGATTGTATGGGAACAGCGCGGGCACTGCTCCTCGTGGGCACAGCGTGGGGACAGCGTGGGGACCACATGGGGACAGCATGGGGACAGCGTAGGCACTGCTCCTCATGGGGACAGTGCATGCAGTGCTCCACACAGGGACAGTGCATGGCAGAGACAGTGTGCAGTGGGCACAGCGTGTGCCCCAGTCCACACGGGCACAGCACGTGGTGGGGACAGCGCATGTGCTGGTCCAGCTGGGGACAGCACATGGCAGGGACAGTGTATGGTGGGGACAGTGCGAGCCCTGGGCCGCGGTGCCCCGGGTCTGCGCGGGAGGGCAGCAGGGCCGTGTCCCGGGGGGACCCGGGTGCCACCCGTGGGCAGCGGCACGACAAGCACCCAGGGTCCCCGCGGGGAGCTGCGGCGGGCGCCGCGGCCGCGAGGGACCCGCTGTCCTCGGCGCAGGGACAGCCTGCTGCTGGAGGCGGGTTTCCTGGCCGTGCTGGTGGCCCCGCTGCGCGTGCCGGGGTGGCGCGCGCCCGCCTGGCGCCCGCACGACGCCCTGCCGCTCTGGCTCGTGCGCTGGCTGCTCTTCCGCCTCATGTTCGCCTCGGGCGTCGTGAAGCTCTCGAGCCGCTGCCCGACCTGGTGGGGGCTCACAGGTGGGTGCCGCGGGGCGCGGGCTGCCCTGCGCCATGTGCCATGCGCCGGGCAGCGCCCTGCGCGCCCTGCCCGCCGCCGAGCGCAGCCCCTGCCCGCAGCCCTCACCTACCACTACGAGACGCAGTGCATCCCCACGCCGCTCGCCTGGTTCGCGCACCAGCTGCCTGTGTGGCTGCAGAAGTTCAGCGTGGTGGCCACCTACGTCATCGAGATCGCCGTGCCGCTCTTCTTCTTCGCGCCCCTCCGCCGCCTGCGCCTCTTCGCCTTCTACAGCCAGGTGCGTGGGCAGCGGCGGGCACAGGGGCAGCGCCGTGGGGTGCCCCACAGCTCCCCGGAGCCTGGGCAGCCCCCCAGCTCGCCGCTCGCAGGTGCTGCTGCAGGTGCTCATCATCCTCACGGGCAACTACAACTTCTTCAACGCGCTCACCATCGTGCTGGCCGTGTCCCTGCTGGACGAGGAGCACGTGGGGCGCTGGCTGGGGCGCAGCAAGAGGAGGCACGGCAGCGGTGAGCGCTGCGGACCACGGCTGCACCGGGAGCTGCCTCGGCCGGGTCGGGGTGGCGCATGGGGCTTGGCGAGGTGGAGGTGGCACCGGGAGCTGCCCTGGCCACGTCGGGGCCGTTGGGGCAGCGGTGGCACCGGGAGGTGCCCTGGCCGGGTCGGGGCTGTCGGGGCAGCGGTGGCACCGGGAGGTGCCGTGCCCGGGCCGGGGCGGCGCGTGGCGCTCGGCGCGGCGGTCGCGACGCACTCATGCCGCTGCCGCCCGCAGCCTGGCCGCCCGGCCCGCGCGCCTTCCTCAGCACCCTGCTGGAGCTCGCCGCCCACGGGCTGCTGCTCTACTGGAGCGCCCACTACTTCGGCCTCGAGATCAACTGGGAGAAGAGGCAGCTGGACTCCAAAGTGGGTAGGTGCCCGCTGCACCCCCCGGCCTGGCACCGGCGGCACCTGCAGCAGCATCACCCAGCCGAGGAGCTGCCGCTGCCGTGTGCCCTGCCAGGGCAGCACCGTGGGCACCGGGCCGCGCTCGGGCGCCCTGCGGCACCTCTGGGGCCGGGGCACCGTGCCGGGCACACCCCGACCCCGCGGCTCTCGCCCTGCTGCAGCCTTCACGTACCACGAGTTCAGCAAGTGGCTGCAGGCGGTGACGCTGCCGCTCGTGGGGCTCGGCTTCCTCTCGCTGTCCTGGGAGGTGCTGGTGGCCCTGTACAGGTGAGCGCCGGGGCGCCGGGCACCGTGCCGCCGCCGCCGCGCGCCCTCACCCGCCGCCCGCCCGCCCGCAGGAGCCTCTGCGTCCGCGGCTGCCTCGGGAAGCTCTGCGCCACGCTGCAGTGGGCCGTCTTTGCCACCGCCACCGTGGGCATGTTCGCCGTGAGCCTGGTGAGCGCGGCGGCGTGGGCACGGAGGGCAGGGGATGCGGCGGCGGGGGGACCGCCTGGCTGCGCCCTGTGCTGCGCTCGGGGCTGCAGCCGGCCCCCTGCACCCGCTGCCGTGCCCGGCGGCGCAGGGAGCGCTGGTTGTGTGCCACAGGCAGTGCTGCGGCTGTGAGCTGCAGCGTGTGGATCGGGCTGGGAGCACTGGTTGTGTGTGACAGGCAGCGCTGCGGCTGTGAGCTGCGGCTGCAGCGTGTGGATCGGGCTGGGAGCACTGGTTGTGTGTGGCAGGCAGCGCTGCGGCTGTGAGCTGCGGCTGCAGCGTGTGGATCGGGCTGGGAGCACTGGTTGTGTGTGGCAGGCAGCGCTGCAGCTGTGAGCTGCGGCTGCAGCGTGTGGATCGGGCTGGGCTTGTTGTGTGTGACAGACAGCGCTGCAGCTGTGAGCTGCAGCTGCAGCGTGTGCACCTGGGAGGATTGGTTGTGTGCAACAGACAGCACTGCAGCTCCGAGCTGTCTGAGCTCTGCAGCTCTGAGCTGCAGCTGCAGCGTGTGGATCGGGCTGGGCTGGTTGTGTGTGACAGACAGCGCTACGGCTCTGAGCTGCCGCTGCAACGTCTGCACCCGGGCGGGCTGGTTGTGTGCGACAGGCAGCGCTGCAGCTGCA